ACACACACAGGCCTCTGAGGCCTACTTCATGCTAAGCAAAGAAACAGATCTTTGTTGCTAAAGGGATTAGGACTGCGGGATCTCGGAGGCACTGCTGAGGCATTCAGCTGGCCTGAAGCAGGGGCTTTGTAAAGAGACACCTCCATTAGAGGTCTGCGAGCGGAAATCATTCATGCTCTTTATACAATCTGGGTAATGTGATAGTGTTGGACTGTTAAACGCCTCTGGTGAGGCAGGGTCCTATCTCCTTGAATGGTAAATTCTTTAGCAGCTAAATAGATGGTGGTATAATTACCTTCCCTAGGTTTTTTTTTTTTGGGGGGAGCGTGGGGGGGGTGCGGGGGATGTCTTCCACCTTTAACCCTTGGTGGGAGTCCTGTTAAAGGATCATCCAAAGCCAGGGACGCAAGTTAGAGAGAGTCTTTGGCCTTCTAGTGCTAGTGCGTTATCAAAACCACGGGGCTCATCTCAACATATGGCCAATGGCCACTTTGTGCCCACATTCACTAAGATGACGAGCATTCCTATTATTGCCTCCTCCTGTGCCTCGTTCTAGCATGTCCCCTAATCTGCCTCTCTCATTTCTATCCATCTTCAGCCTGCCTTCACCAGTCAGCTCTTTCTTGACCTACTTTTCCCAAGCTGGGAGGGTGTCCTTCCTCTGAGGTCTCTAGTGTCCTGCACATATCTCTACCATTACCTTCTTCATTAATTCTAAGAGTCATTGTGCCAGGGGATGCTGAGCTCCTTGAGGGACAGCATATTTACTTTTGAATCCACAGTACCTGATGCTTAATAGGTGCCTGGGCTGTTCCCAGCTGGAGAGGGTGATGGTTGGGTGATTTTATCTTAAAATCAGGCCCCGTGGTAGCTGGGAAGACTGTGCACACCTGTGTGTTTCAATGGCTTATGAGGATTAAAAAAAAAAAAAAAACCTCATAGTAAATCTTCCTAGTGGACCCAGGAATCTTAAGAGATCAAGTAAAATACATTGTGGCCAATTGGAAAAGAAAAATGTGTCCTATAGGAAAGAGAGCAAGTGGCCACTCCTCACAAATGGCCAGAGGCTTTCTGAGGGACCTGGTTGGTCCTGATCCTGCTTCTATACTCTCCTTGGTGAGAGAATGGCCATCAGTTGAATGGACATATTATTTGGATCCAAATATTAATTATGGTATCAGCTATTGACTTAAAACCAGTCTTTCCCTCTATGGTTCTCAACTGTTCTAACTTGAGACCTGTAGAGGGAAGAAATGCAGCGTCAGAGCTAAGGGACCCTTTCCCCTGGTATCATCACCTGCCCCCGGCCCCCCACTCCCACAGGTGCTGACACATTTCTTCTGCCAGAAAGTATGGCTCTAGGTAGAGGTGGGTTTTGTTCTTCATTTTGCTCAGAAGCCATCCTGGTTTCTGATTAGAAGATAGAATAGTGCATAGGATAGAGATTTGCAACAACTGTAAGAAGGCTGTGGCTTTTCTCCACTAAAGCTCTTAGATATCTGGGTCAGGCCTCTCTGTGAGCATGGCCCTGGATATCATTAATTGTTGCTGCTTGCCATTGTCACAATTATCTATCTGGATTACCTCTCCTCACCATTTGACAGATGGGACTTTCTGCTCTTACATTATTAACATCAGTGGCTGTAAAGAGCAGCTAAATATGGAATCAAGAAAACAGCAGAGAGATCACAGCCTTTGTCTCCATTTCAGTCATTTATTCAATCACTCATCAGCCAAAAAGTGCTGAGCACCTATTACGTGCCACAGACACTGCAATAGGTATTGAGCATACAGAGATGAGCATGGCATGGGATTCCATCTAAAGAGGGCTGTCTTGACCAATGTGGTTAATACTGTGAGAGCAAATCTGCACAGAGCATTCTAGATGCATCCGGTGGTGAGCAGTGGAAGGAACTCAAAGAAGGCTCCTGAAAGAAATGAGAACTTAGATCAGAAGTCAGATTCTAGCGGGGAAAATATCCATAAGCATATTTGGTCTAATTGAGAAAATTTGAATCTAGATTACATATTAGATAAACTATTGTATGTTCCTAAACTGGAGTGGCTGATGACGGCATTACGGTTATCTAAGACAGCATCCTTATCCTTGAGACATGCTGAACTGGTTGTGGGTAAGGAGTCATAATATCAATAAATTATTTTCTGATTGTTTGGGAAAAGATGTGTGTATAAGTATGCATATGGGAGGAGAGAACAAATAATTAGTGAATCTAGGTGAAGTCATAGGAACATACTATTCTTTATGTATGAAATTTTTCAAAGTAAAACATTTGGAAAACAATTTTAAATATTTATATAAAAATACATCTCAAGGGCTAAACACTGGAATGAAGAAAGAGAAGAAAGGTAGGTGTTAGATAGAGAGAGGGAAAGGTGCTCCAGAGAGAAGGGGTGGCTAGTGCTGAGGATTTGGGGACAGTGGCTGGAATGTTCAGTAAGGCAGGGACCTCATTTGTCTTGTTTCCATCTGCATCCCCATGCATTGAGCTGCTCCTCGCAGAGTTGACTCTTGTATGTATTGTCCAATGAATGAAAGAGTTAAACAGCATCATCTATGCAGGGAACTACAAGCAGATCAGACCAAAGGGAGCGTAAGGTTTGCATTAAGGAGGGGAACTCGATTCAGCCGCAGAGGCAGGAGCCTGGTCATGGAAGCCTTTGTGTATTCTGCCAAGGTCCCACGACTTTATCCTGTAGGCACTGGGAACCAAGAGCAGAAGGCTATTCAGAAGGCTATTCAGTTAGATTAGCATCGGAAGGGACCACCCTGGCAGTCAGGTGTCACGTGAAGTGAAGGCGCATTAGCCTGGAGGCAGGAGACAAGGGTACCAGCCAGGATGCTTTTGGCTTCTGTAATCATAAAGCCCTGATTCCTATTGGCCAAATCATCAAGAGACAACCAATGGAGCTATAAACTCTGAGATGAGAGACAGCAGAGGTGGCCAATTTAGTGCCTCAGCAGGGTCACCGCTCCCAGGCTCTATGCCTCTCTCTCCCCATTCCCTCTCTATGGTGGGCTCTGCTTGCAGGCTGCCTTTCCTCATCTTCAGAAGCTAGCTGCAGCGGTTCCCTGAGCAACATCCAGACAGCGATGACCATGTACAGAAGGGAGCCGTCTCTTCTACGTGTGGCTTTCTTAGCAAGGAAAAATTTTCCAGTAGCTTTCCAGCAAACTTCCCCTCCCATCCATCCCATGGGGCCCCACTAGGTCATTGGCCCATGCTGAAACCAATCACTGTCAAGGAAATAAGGTTACATGCTTTGCTCAAAATAATACTTTATACACGGGGAGAGTCAAGTGTGATAGACCATCCCTAGAAACCCTTGCAAGGGGATTGGTCCAGCCAAAATGAGGTTAGAAACCTAAAGTTCGACTACGCTGATTGGAGATAGAGAGCTAGAGACAGACTCAAGACTTATTTAGAAAGTAATGTCGATGAATATGGAAGATGAAGAAAAGGAAGAGAGGGGGATGCATGCTTTCATATTTCTGCTTGGATGAGTGGATAGAAGACACCACTAACTGAGATAAGGTGCACAGGAAGAGGAGAGGAGGGTTTGGAGGAAAGCTAGTTTGGGGCGGGTCCAGTTTAAAGTGCCTGTGAGCATCAGAATGAAGGTAGTGGCACTCAGTAGAATATATGAGTCCACCCATTATCCCTGACTGGTGGTCTGTTAAGGTCTGTAGACAAGTCAAAATAACACGTGGTATTTTGCCAGAGAAATGTTAGAGTTTGTAAACAAGTCTGGATGGTGCCTGGCAAAATGCCAGAGGGAGTGGTTTGAGAAGTAACAAAAGCGAGCCATTAAGTGTGGAGATTCCTTATTGGTTGACTGATGTATCTAGTTTATGCTAATTAGATAAGCTGTGCAAAATGTATAAATAGCTCTGTTGTCCTACAATAAACGGCTCCTATTCCTGCTGTATCAATTTACACAAATTGTTCGTCACCCCCGGTTATTCTGCTGCAGCCGGACTGCGGCAGTGGTCCATAGTCAGACATGGTTCTCAGACAGACATTGGTCCCAAAAGACATTTTAAATTCTTTGAACCTATATTTAATCTTTGAGAGATTCCAAATAAGATTATGGGTTTCTGGCTTTGGGGAAAATTGGAAAATCTGGCACCTCGGGTCCTGAATTCCTGCATGTGGACAACCGGCTGGAGCACAGGAGCAGCCACCCCTCCCATGCCTACCTTTAGCTACAGGTGACCATTCTCTGGCCTGCAATTTCTATCATCACTTTCCTTCACTGACTTTCCCTGCCTGGCCCTTGATGGCATTTCCATCTGATACTTTTGCTTAAAATGTCGGGGCAAGAGGGCTGAGCTGCAGATGAACATCTGGGAGCCACTGGTGTTTAGGAGGTGGAATGAGAAATGGGTCATGGAGGTATTGGTTTTTTAGATACGGAGAAAGGGAACTCCGTGCAGGAGATGAAACAGAAGAAACTGGGGTGGAAGCAGAACTTGAAGTGTCAAGAGCCAGGAGGGTTGGAGTTACAGGCAGTGCTCATCAGGCAATGCAGCAGCAGTGCAGGGAAAGAAGGATTCAAAAGGGACAAGGCTCCGGGAGATGAGTTGTGAATACTCTGAGGAGCCTCGCTTTGTGGCCTTGTGAGGGAAGAAGCCCGAGGATGGTGGGTTTAGTAAGGATGAAAGGTGTCATGGTTTAGATATGAGGTGTCCCCCAAAAGCTCACGTGGAAGACCATGCAAGAAGGTTTGGAGGAGAAATGATTGGGTTATAGCCTTCACCTGATCAGTGAATTAATCTCTGATGGGATTAGCTGAGTGGTAACTGGAGGCCGGTGGGGTGCGAGTAGAGGAAGGGGTTCATTGGGGGCGTGGCTATGGAATACATATTTTGTATCTGACGAGTGTATTCTCCCTCTCTTTCCCTCCCCACCCCACCCCCTCTTCATTCTGATCATCATGTGAGCTGCTTCCCTCCACCACACTCTTCCCATGATGTTCAGCCTCACCTTGAGCCCCAAGGAATGGAGCCAGCCTTCTCTATGGACTAAGACCTCTGAAACGGTGAGCCCTGAAATGAACCTTTTTTCCTTTACAGTTGTTCGGGTTGGGTTCTTTAGTTACAGCGGCGATAAAGCTGACTAAAACAAGAAGTAAGTTAGCTCAGTCCTCATAGGCTACTGAGGCAAAAAACGGAGGAGAAAGTTTGGGTGGAAGCCAGAGAAGTTGTGGGGTCAGAGAATAGTCCCTTTTAGGATGAGAAAGATCTAGACACCTCCCGTTCCTGGAAGAAGGAAACTGGTGGTGAGAGGGAGGCCATAGAAATGTAACAGAGAGGAATGAACCACAGAACCAAGTCCAAGAGGAGTTGGGTGGGCACGGGAGGGGAGGAGGAGGGTCAGGGGCACAGGAGGTTGGACACCAGGAGGACAGAAGGAGCTGTTCCAGCTTCCAGGTAGGAAAGGACATGAATCTGAACAGATAAATATGTGCAGAAATTTGGGGACAGTGGCAAAGTCAGTAACTTTCCAAAGGGATCCTTCATGGTGCTCTTCCTTTTCCTTGTGGTAGGAAAGCCAGGATGGGGAGGGGGGAATGGATGATCATTTACAGACCCCCAACTTATAAGCAGCAGTGGTGGAGGGCAGAGAAAGCCCTGGAAACCTCATTTTCCAATGCTCGGAGGCTGAGTTCCCACCGGCAGAGGGAAAGAACGAGCACGTGTGTGGTGGGTGACGGTTCTCCCTGGTGGCAGTAGCTCAGAGCATGGAGGGGTGGCATTCCCAGTCCCACAAGGCTGAACAGCTTTAGGTGACAGTGGAGGCTGTCTCTGCACACACCCTGGTTTGGATGAAGATTTTCTCCTTCCATGTGCGTCACTCACTCCAGAAGCACCCGCCACAAGCAAGATGGCAGCAAGCACAACTCAACTCCTGGAGATACCCTGCCAGCCTGCAGGTGCCAGTGTCCTCTGGACAGTCAATGACCCAAACTGGGAATTCCAGGGCCTGGATGGAAGAGGTGAAAGATTTAGTCTGGATCAGGGCATACGTCTTTGTGTTCTATGAAGTTTTAAAACCCGTTGGTGATTGTTGAAAAGCTCTTTTGAAAGAAAGACAAATTGAAATGCCACGGGGACTGAGGGATCCAAAGTTGTAACTTGATGTCTGTGAATGTAATCCAGGACTCTTGGTGTGGTGAATTGCAGTGGTCTATAACTGGGTTTCTCAACCATGGCACAATTGTGAGATATATATATATATATTTTATTTTTATTTTTATTTATTTTATGAGGCTAATAGCCATCCTTCTGCCCTTCCCACCTCAGGTAATCACAATTAAAAAATGTCTCTGAACATCATCAGATTTCTTTGGGGGTGAGGGATTGCCCCATCTGAGAATGACCAGTAAGATTTGGAGTTTAGACCCATCTGAGCAAGGTATTTGTAAGAGATGGGAATCCATGCAGGAGAAAATCTGGCATTTTATTTTATTCATTTAGTTAGTTAGTGTTGAGAATGAAAATCTGGCATTTTTAATGAAGGTTTCCAGAAAAGTCAAGTTAGACTTGCAAAAAGGTAGCCCTCCTGCCTAAAAACTAGTCAACCCTGACTTGTGCCTGGCACTAAGGGGATTCAAACCCAGGTTTCAGAATTCAGAGTCCAGCCTGAGTATTGTGCCTCCTTCTCTGCCCATACAACTGTGTAAGGCCTTCTTACCATTATTAAAATGAAAAGTTTTAGACTATGTCTTTAAGAACCCAACAAATCCTTAAGTGTGACCAGGACCCATACTACACATTGTATAATGCAATGACACACACAGTGTGACCACCGCCCACAGCGTGGCCAAAGGTCAGAAGATTTAAACAGACGTGACTATCGGAGAACAGTGCAAAATGGAAATGTAACTGTGAGAAAGTACAAACCAGGGTGGGGATGGAAGAGCTGTAGAGAATATTTCAAGCATGCAATTCCCTGGAGAGACAGCACTGGACCCCCCCCCCCCCCGTGGGGCCCAACTATATGGCAGGCACGTGCTAGGTATGAAGGATGGCACTCACAGTCTAGTAGGGGTGTTCACACACATTTGGAGGAAGGTGCTTGGTTTGTAAAATGTGTGGCACCATGACAACGTCTGAAAGGGACTACACTGATTTTGGATGAGGAGTCAGGGAAAGTTTTTCTGAAGAAATGATGACTGACCTAAGAGCTGAAGCCATTTACCAGATGAAGAGGGTATGTGTGTGAACTCATGAATGTGTATGTGTGCCTTGTGTGTGTGTGTGGGGGGGTGAGGGGTGGGGGGATGTTTAAGGAAGAGATAAGAGCATGTGCAAAGGTCCTGAGGTGAAGAGCACACAAGGAGTAGAGACACTAGAGGAGTCCAGTCAGACTAAAACAGGGGGTGGGGGAAGCAAGGACCAGATTCTGTAGGATCTTATGAGCCATGGTAATGATTTTCATCTTTAGAAAAGTAGTAGGGTATCATTAAGGGATTTCAGGGAGATGAGTGACATTGTCTGATTTGAGTTTTCAAAAGATCCTTCTGGCTACAGTGTAGAGTAGATGAAGAGGCTGGAGTAGACTTGGGGCCCTGTGGTTCATTGAGAGGTCCATAAGCATGTTTCCCTTGGTTCTCTTTTATTGAAAGCTTTTGCTCTTTTGCAAGTAAAATAATAATTTTTAAAAAATTAGAAAGAAGAAAAAAAGTCCAAGAGCCCATCCATTCTTCAGCCAGGGGGTTCCATGCCTCTGTTCCAGCTTTCAGTAGTAGACAGTCCTTGGCACCCCCTGCCTTATAGATGACATCATTCTGGTCTCTGTCTCTGTGTTCTCATGGGGTTCTGCTCTCTCTGAGTTTGTTTCTCTCTGTCGTCTAGTTGTCGAATTTAGGGCTCACTCTAATCCAGAATGACCTCACCTTAATTTAACTAATTACATCTCAAAGACCCAATTTCCAAATAAGGTCATATTCTGAGGTTCCTGGTGGACATCAGTTCTGGGGGACAGGATATATAACTCCATACTCAGGCCATCATTGTTTGTGGATTTATTTCAGCCAGCAGAGATCCACAAAGAACTCTGTTCCAGAGCAGCAGGAGCTAGAGCAGCACGTGGCCCCTCTGTGAGCCGGCAGGGACTCCCTGTTGCCATCCACACTGATTCGGTCATTTATGTCGACGGACTCCCTCAGATATTGGAGTTTGTGACCCCACACTTACAGGAAAAAAATGAACAACATTATGGTGTGGGACCAACTGGGGGCTGCGGAGTGTGTCACGCGGAGCCCGGTTTAGTTGCCATAGCTGAATGGATGAATGACTCTGTTCCAACAATGCAGCAGGGTCGTTCTGGCGACTGTATCTCTGGAAGGCCACAGATGATGTCTATTATGTCCCCAGGCATCAGCCATTACCTTGGAAACAGGCCATCCTGACAGCATGTCAAGGAAGTTGTTATAGGGAATTATTTCAGCCAGAAGAGATCTCTGCAAAGCAATCTGTTCCAGCCTACTGTGTCATGGAGTGGTCCCCATGTCCCCGATTTTTTTTTTTTTTTTTTTTTAATGCTGGAAATACAGCAGCAGCCAGCATGAAGCCTACACCTGTCATGAGCTAATGTTCGATTCCTGCCAAGGTTTGCACTTGGGTTCCATTAACAGGGCAGAAAGGACCATCCCGGGAAGCACGTTAATATTTAACCCTTTACCCGCATATTTTCTCTCTGTGGGAGAAACCTGCCACTCGCCAAACCACCACCAACCGGCAGTTTGGAATTTCGCTTCTGTTTTTTAAACTCTTTCTTTCTTTCTTTCTTTCTTTCTTTCTTTCTTTCTTTCTTTCTTTCTTTCTTTCTTTCTTTCTTTTCTTTCTTTCTTTCTTTCTTTCTTTCTTTCTTTCTTTTCTTTCTTTCTTTCTTTCTTTCTTTCTTTTTTTGTTTTGGAGGCAGACTAGAGAAAGGAAAATGAATAGAAACTGGGCTTCAAGTGCAAGAGCCATACACCTTTTTTTTTTTTTTTTTTGAAAAAAATCAAGGAAGAGTGAAGCGGAGCTTGGCTGGAGAGTGTTCATTGGCAGAAATGATATGAAGCTGAGACAAGAACCAAACCTCATTAGTGTCAAATGTCTCCTTCCTTTCCAGCTGCAGCCAGAGCAGAACCTAAGGATGTGTGGTTGGGAGTCAGCAGCTCCAAGCCTCAGAACAGCAATCCGGTTTCTATGTCTTCCAAGGGGTGGGGACCGTTTTTCAGATGGGGATTTATTTTTCACTCTGTGCTTTTCTACAGTGAGTTTTGGGATACTCCTCCTCATTCCTAGCCTCTGTGGACTTGAGAATGCTCCAGTCAGGACTGGAATAACTGAAGAGAGATAAATGGCCCAAAGGATGATGGGTAGGTCAATATTTATTGAGAAAGAGCTGAGGTCCTGGAGGGATGATTCCCTCAGTGCTGGCTGGGGTTGGGGTGGAAGTCTGGAAACCTGAGTTGATCCCTGGTGGACAAGAACTTGGGGTTAAGAGATGAGTCGTGAGAAGGATCAGGGAATGTAGAAACTACAACAGGAAGCTCTGTGTTGAGCAAAGAGTTTATGAAATAGGTCTTGCACATAGTAGAACTATGAAAAATATTTGCTGAACAAGTAAATGAACAGAGAAATTATGTCACGAGTGAAGTTGAAGTTGTTCCTGGGGCTAAGGAGAGTTTTTGTTTCCTTTTTTTTTTTTTTTTAAATGTATGTTGGCAGTGGTGAGTGGGGGGATCTCTTTTTTAAAAATATTTATTTATTTTTTTTAGTTGTAGTTGGACATAATACCTTCATTTTGTTTATTTACTTTTATGTGGTGCCGAGGATCGAACCCAGGGCCTCGCACATTCAAGGTGAGCGCTCTACCACTGAGCCACAACCCCAGCCCAAGGAAGATCTCTTGCTAGAGAAGACAGATCTGATTCATACACCTTAAAGTTAGTCTTATTTTGTAAACATACATATATTGTTCTTATAAACAAATCATAAAATGCCTAGTAAGACCCAAAGTCTTTAAGCCCTAGCCAAAATCCCAGGGCCTCTTTCTCTCTAGAAAACTTTAGGTTTTCAATTGATGTGTAGCCTGATATACCTTGATCTGTAAGTAAATATAAAACTATAAAAAACATTATTTTTTTTTAATTGGTGAGGAAAGATGATATGCAAATTGCATGGAATTATTCTGCCCACTTGCTTTGTCTCTCAGCAGAATGACCCGGAGACCTCTCCATGTTGTTCTATCTGGATCCACTTTATTCCTTTGGAGTGTTGCTGTTGTAGTGAGCTTTTTTTTTTTTTTTTTTTTTTCTGCTGTAACTAAAAGACTTGACTAGAACAATTGTAGAGGAGACAAAGTTTATTTGAGGGAGGGCTCCATTCCTCAGGGCTCAAGTAGAGGTAGAACATCATGGCAGAGGGAAGTGGCTCACATGATGATCAAAAAGCAGAGAGAGATCCCACTTGTCAGATATAAAATATACACCCCAAAGACAGTCCCCAATAACCCACCTCTTCCAGCCACATCAGTCTCCACTCTGTTAACCCACAGGGGATTAATTCACTGATTGGGTTAAGGCTCTCTTAATCCTAATATCTACACCATAACAGCTGTGTAGTGATCCTTGGATTGAGTGTGCCACCGTCTGTTTAGTTACTTGTTCTTTTGTGGTGCTAGAACCAAGGCCTGGAGCCTTGGAGGCAAGCACTGCACCCCTGAGCCACACCCTCACTTGGTGAGAGGGTGCAAGTGGTGAACTCTTTCCTTTGAGCCTTTATAAAGCACTAATCTATTCACAGGGGCGGAGCCCTCAAGGCCAAATCACCTCCTAATGGTACGTTAGGGATTAAATGTCAACCTGTGAATTGGGGAAACACATTCAGACTGTAGAACACAAACACGTACACACTCACACTGACACCCCCCACCCCATACAAACACAGTACCAATCAGCACATACAAGCCAACAGCTACTTGGCCTGTGGCATCTAGAGAACAGGTAAAAGGCAAATTGGGACTGAAGGAAGCCTGTGAGAAAGGGAAGCAGGGAGTGAGAACCACGCCATCCAATAAGGAGGTGATTAGGCCCCGCCCTTCTGAATGGATTTGTGCTTATAAAAGGGCTTGAGGGACTGAATTCCATCTCTCCCATCTCTCCCATCAAGTTAGGGTGCAACATCCCTCCACTCTACGGGAAGCAGCAAGACACCAGCTTGTCAGACACAGAGCTTGCTGGAACCTTGATCTTGGATTTCTAAATTCTAGTACTGTGAATACTTCTAGTACTCTATACTTCTAGTATAAATGTCTGTTGTTTATAATTTAACCATTCTGTGGCATTTTGTTATAGCAGCACAAAGAGAATAAGATAATATATTGCCCTGCAAACCCGAATCTACTTGTTTGTGGTCATTGCATGTGTTGTGGGGAATGTTCCTGATAGCATTTGGCTTCTTGGTGATATGGGATTGGTTTTCCATTCCATCTGGGCTGAGGTTGGAGCCTTTGTCAATGGGATCTAACTCACTCACTATTGAGTACAGACTGTGGTTCTATTTTTAGAAACAAAAGGAGCCAGGTTTCTTTGTTATCTCTTAAGAACATAAAATATTCTGATTTTTCCATATAGTCCATCACATTATCTTAAACTCTTTGGTGTCCTGTACGTCCCAACATTTGATCTACAAACTAGTTGTGAACCCAGTTAATAATACCATCATTAACATCTTATCATTTTTTAAGCATATGTTATTTCTATAGATAACAAATGGGCATGTGGCCATTTCTTATGACTTCTGTGTATGGTAATCTGCATACCCTGATGATCTGGATGCTTTAAGGAACAGGACCAAGAGGTCACTGGTAATAGCAATATTTTCTTTCAAAATATTTCAAAATATTAGGATAAATGTAGATTTTATTATTTTACTATTAATGAAAACTCATCTATGATTACTTGTAAGCATACCACTTACACATTTTCAAAGATGATACCAAAAAAATTTGTTCTTGTAAGTTTTCCCATCTTCAGTCATCTTTTTTACATTTATGTTTTCTTTTGGCCCCCGTCTTTGATTTAATAGAACCTAGGGCCTTGCACATGTTTGGTAAGTGATCTCTACTGAGCTACCTTTCCAGCCCTTCAATCATCCTTTTCTTTAAGAAACGTTATATGACTTTAATCAAAATTTTTTTTTTTTTTTTTAGGGAGAGAGAATTTTTAATATTTATTTTTTAGCTCTCGGCGGACACAACATCTTTGTTGGTATGTGGTGCTGAGGATCGAACCCGGGCCACACGCATGCCAGGCGAGCGCACTACCGCTTGAGCCACATCCCCAGCCCCTTAATCAAATTTTTGAAGTGATTAACACTCATGCATATGACTTTCTTGTTGTTTTGTTCTGTTTAGTTTGGACTGAGAAGATCTTCTGCATGCTATTTACTGACACAGAATCAAACATTACCAGAACTTGTTGATGGGCTTATATTACATGCTAAATGGAAATATTTTTAAAATTTTATTTATTTTTTCTAATTTTTTTATATATGACAGCAGAATGCATTTCAATTCGTACTACACATATATAGAGCACAATTTTTTATGTCTCTGGTTGTGCACAAAGTAGAGTCACACTGTTCATGTCTTCATACATGTACTTAGGGTACTGACATCCATCTCATTACACCGTCTTTCTACCCAACCCCTGTCCTCTCCCCTCCCTCCCTCCGCTTTGCCCTATCTAAAGTTCCTCCATTCCTCCCATGCTCCCCCCCACACAGCCCCATTATGGATCAATATCCTCCTATCAGAGAAAACATTTGGCATTCGGTTTTTTGGGGATCAGCTTACTTCACTTAACCCAGTCAAAGTTCCTCTATTTTTCCCATGCCGCCCCCTTACCATTATGGATCAGCATCCACTGATCAGAGAGAACATTTGGCCTTTGGTATTTTGGGGACTGGCTTACTTTGCTTAGCATGATATTCTCCAACTCTATCCATTTACCTGCAAATGCCAAGATTTTATTCTCTTTTAATGCTGAGTAATATTCCCTTGTGTGTATATATGAAGTTTCCCTATCTGCCCATCTATTGAAGGGCATCTAGGTTGGTTCCACAATTTAGCTATTGTGAACTATGTTGCTTTCAATCATCTTTTTTTCAATCATCTTTGATTTTGAGTTCTCTTGGGCAACTCAGTTTACCACAACAAAACTTTGAATTCTGGGGGAACTTTTTAGTATCCCTCTGTCTTATTATGTTTTCTGTTGTTATAACAAAATATCTGAGGCTGGGAACATGATAAAGAAAACAGGCTTATTTAACTTATAGTTCTGGAAATCCAAGGACATGGCCTTGGCATACTGGTATAAGGGACCTTTGGGTGGTGTTACTTTATCACAAAGAAGCAGAGAGCCCCAGCCATTGTGCAGAAGGAACCAAGAGCATGGGGTGACCTCTCTTTATAGCAGTCTGTTCTCTTAAGAGCCAACTCATTCCATGAGAACAGCTTTCATCTCTCTGAGAGCAGGGCTCCCATGACCCCATTACCTTCCACGGGGCCCCCTTAAAGTTTCCATCACCTCAACCCTGAAGCAGTTGGGACTGAGCCTCCAATACATGAACCCCCGGGAGACACAGCTAAGCTGTAGCACCCCTAAATATTTTAATTTGCTTCTTAGTTTCCTGTCCAGGCCGAAGAGCCTTCCAAGAGAGATCTTCCCAGTTTCTGTTTTCCATTGGGATTCAATGGATTATCTATGTGCTGATAAATTGCTGACCTTTTATATGGAAATCTCCTTTAAAAATATAAGTTCCTATGCCTTTAGATCTGTCTTGGTCTAGCTCTCTAGGAAGGTCAAGTTTTCATATCTTTCTATGTTTTCTCTGTTGTGCTCCAGGGCACCCTTGGTCAATTGGGCTAAGTCCTCCTTTCTCACTTTGCTGATTAAGTGTGCGGGCTTTGGAGTTAAGAGACATCTTTGAAGCCTGGCTCCCTCCATCACTTGCCAGCTATGACCTGGGGTGGGGTTATTTAAAATTTGAAGACCATTCTTATCACTTGTAAAACTCTGATAACGACAGTGTGTATGTTGTAAGTGCATTGTGAGGATAATGCGGCAATGCATATAGAACATGAGGCCAGGCACACAGTAAGGATTCAAAACCAAGGATAATCAGGATTTAGTTCCTGAGTATTTTGGAGAAATCACCAGGCAGAAATCTGAAAGGGAGGGTGAGTCTGGGAGTTGGAGACAGTATGGGTGGTGAGAGCCCCTGCCCTGTTCTTCATTTGACTGTCTTTAGATTGCTGCGTAGAAAGCTTTGGCACCAGAACGTGTCATAGACAGGACTTTCTAACAACTCA